TCCAGAGCCGTAATTCAGTGGGAACCAATTTCATCCCACAGGACCATGACAGCAAGATTCAAATAAAAAAACAGAAAGAAGGGTAACAATTATTCAGTGCTACGCACAATGCAACAAGCAAGGTGGTACAAGACGAGAACGAGGATTCTTGCAGACAACTACAAGCAGTAGTGGACAACATCCCAAATGGTGACATCGAAATCCTTATGGGCGATGTGAATGCCAGCTAACTGGGAGCAGATAACATAGGAAGAGAACTCATCATGTGTGGAGAGACTGTTGCTCAGAGAAATCAATGAGAACTGAGAATTATTCGCAGATTTGTGTGCTTTCAATGATTTGGTCATCGCAGGGAGCGTTCAAAAACACAGGGATATGCACAAAGCGACATGGATTTCGCCTGATAGACACACCGCAAACCAAACAGATTTCATCTCAATGCTGCTCAAAGAAGTGGAGACGCAGCTAGTCTGCTGGATACAAAGTCGAGAAGGGAAGCAGATGTGATCACAGATCATCATCTAGTTCGAGGAACCTTCAAGGTGAATTTGAAATCCTTCAGAAAACCTAGAGACAGACTATTATTCAAATTCAACACCATGAAACTGAAGGACAAAACTACAAGTAATGCCTTCCCTACACTTCAGATTAAAGCAAAGTCGGAGACGCTTCGTGTTATCAACGAGGAAGCGTGTCTAGAAGAACACTGGAACTCTCTGAAGGAGATGGGTATTTAAGCAAGTGTTCTAGGAAGGAAGAAAATACAAGACAAGCAGTGGCTCTCAACGGATACCTAGAAGCTAATCGAGGAGAAGATGATGGTGAAAGAGAAGATGACTCAATGCAAAGATGAGCAACAGAAGGAGTAACTCATGTCAGTGTGCATTGCACTGAATAAAGAAGTGAAGAAGAGAGCCAGGAAAGTCAGAACACAATCCTGCGACACACTGGCCGATAACTGAAGCAGAACAAGTAGGCCGCAGGTGAAAGGGACTTCAGGACATGATACCGTACAGCCAGGCTGCTCACTATTCCGAAATTGTCAACAAAGATGATGAAACCTTTATTATATATTCGAAGGAACCTGATAATCAAGAAAGAGAAACATATAAAACAATGGGCTGATCAATTTACAAGACTCTTGAATCGACCATCAATTGCAACTCGCCTAGAAATACCACCAACAGCACGCACATTATTGTCTGCCAGAGGATACCGATCCTCCAACGAAAGCAGAAATCCTGAATGCGATCGAGCTGCTGAAGTCCAGTGGAGAAGACAGCAGGACCAACTGGAATTCCGTCTAGGGATACAGAGACCGCCACAGATGAGGTCACGTCATTACTGAAAATGCTTTGGGAAGATAGAAAGGTACCCATCGACTGGAAGAAAGGCCCGCTACCTTGTCAAGATGCAAGAAAGGTCAGCTTAAGCCTTTCGCTGCAAGAACTGTCGTGGAGTAATGCTCTTGTCCATGACAGTTGAAATGCTATGTCACATCATCCTGGAGAGAATGAAGGGTGCACTGGATACAGAAATCCGTCTACCTCATAAAAACAAGCTGGCTGGATTCAGGAAAGGCAAATCATGTCCTGATCAAATTGCAACTATGCGCATCGTCATCACAGAACACAGCCTAGAATAGAGTGGCAGTCAAGCACCGCTCTACCTCAACTTCATCGACTTCGAAAACGCCTCCGACAGACAGCGTAGAACGAGAAGTAATTTGAAAACCACTTCAACACCACGGCGTACAGTGTCCGAGTCTTTGTCAACCTCATCCAACAGCTGGCTTTTTGATAATGGCACGTGTCAGGTGAACCACAACGGGAAACTCAGTGAGGCGTTTGAAGTGAATACGAGAGTAAGACAAGCTGGCTGTCTACTATCACCGATGATATTCCTCATTGTAGTGGACTGGATTATGAGTCAGAATGTGCATTGGGAGTGACAAGGCAATAATACTCTGGACCACCAATTAGAAGACTCTAGAAGATCTGGATTTCGCGCCTGGATGATATATGTCTAATGTCACACAAACTCGAAGACTTGCAGGTGAAAACCAACAAACTGGATGAAGAGGCCAGCAGCGAAGACAGCACTCCAGGTTAACAGAGAGATGATGTAGTTGATGAATATAACCAACAAACCACAACAACGACAACAACCAGCACCAATCACCATCAACACGAGAGATTGAACAGATGTTACCTCCTTCAATTATCCGGCCGGGAAGCATCGTTTCAACTACAGGCAATTGCAACTGATGAGGATTTCAAAGTCGGTCAGAATCAGAAAGGCAAGATATGCCTTCATCAACCTGAAACCAGCTTGGTAATCTTCTACACTCAGAACAAGGAACACCACTCGGATTTTCAACACCAATGTGAAGTTCGTCAGGTCTTCAATGCGGGTGAGAAACTTGCACTGCGTGTCACGGAATGGATTTCCAACAGGCTACCGAAGACTTTCATCAACAGCTGCCACCTTCACTGGCTGGCTCCATACTGAAGATCAAATGGCCAGAAAGAAAGGATTAGCAACAATACATTCTGGCTGACAACAAACCAACGGAGCAAGAGCCGATTACTCAACAAATATGTAAGAGAAAATGGAGATGGATCGGGTACACGTTGAGGCTACCGTCGAATGCAGATCATCGTCTGAGTGGAATATCAGTGAGAAGCGACGAGTGGATCGTCAGTGCGAAGTTGATATGGAGGAGATCGTGTGAAGAAGAGATGAGAGAGTTTGGTCAATCGTGGACCCAGCTGAAGAGGATGGCGAAAAAAAGAGCAAAGTGGAGGTGTGTTCCTGAAGCCCCATGTCTGATTCGGAATCCAAGTGAACAATAATAATAATAGTAAATAATTCAACTGGACACTTTCATCATTCCACAACACTTACAACGACCACATTCTTGTCATATGTATAACTTTGATACCACTTTGTATATGCTTCTTTGTCTAAAGCCTCTTGTGTATTCTAATAAAGACCAGTTAAAGAAGAAACTCGTTCGCATAATGGTATTTATTTGGAAGCCTAAATTCATGCATCACAAATATACTCCTAATTTCATCATTCGATTATTTCATTACACTTAACATAGAAAAAGGTTCCTTTCTGTGGTAGACACGCAACCTACAGCATTTTACAAAACCAAGTGGATAATACGTGTTAAAAAGAAACATCCAATGCGTATCAGGTCAACACTCAAATATTTAATCTTCAAATATCAGTCTTTCTTCAGAATAAAGGCTTAGGCATCAGCAGATCTTTTACTGACAACTTCATGCTTAATAATGTGTTAAACAGTGTGTAACTGTACTATCAAACAAAAACAAAAAAGACGCTTGATTCGAAGACAGTATAATGTTGACAGTCATTCATTTCTAATGAATGACTAGAATTGCCTGCTTGTATAATATCAAATTAATAATGTACTAGTGACCTGACTGATTCGAAACAGTCACGAAATCTTTTCTAGAAGTTGAGTGACCTGATCAAATCAACATGAGCACGTGATAATAAACTGTGATTGTGTAACAGGTAAAAACTTTATAAATACTGCAGTCATATTTGGCTGATCAAATCATCTGATATTAGAGAAATTGGTAGGTTTAACTATTACTATTATCATTATTATTATTAATAATTAGTATTATTACGACCATCATTAAACAGCTTTATATTTCATACATTTATTACGCTCTATGAATTTGAATAAAGCAAGAACAACACTTTTCCAGAATAAAATGGTACCATCATTTATTTCGTCGGCTTCTCATCACCTGAATACAACTCAAAGACATCAATAAGTACACCTATACAAACAATCTTGACATCCTTGCAGAGTTCATTTCTGAACAAAAATTAGTCAGTCAGTATATGTTTACAATGCTAGTAATTATAATAAACACTTTACTCCGAACAATAATGATCATACACAATGGAAATTTTTGACATACTGTAATCAGATGAAAGAGAGAATGAAAACGTCCAGTTAGCAGTGCAAGGAAAGACCGACAACACACAGATCGGATTCAACGCGCTTGATGGAAATTGCTTCAGCAAACTTGACGAGAATTGAACGCTTCTCTTTGCCTACTGATAGTTTTGAATGACCTTGCGATGTCCTTCTCATGACCCATGTCAATAAGATGCCTGGCGACGGCACTGTTTAAAGCATCTGTTCCCTTTAGACATAGGCCTTTTGGTACATGTTCAGAAAATCGTAGGTATGCTCTTCTTTCTGTTCTCCCAATGTAGCTGCTTCCGTAGATACATGTAAATTTGTATATACAGTTGGAGTTAACATGAGAAGGATATCAGTCGATTTTCGACTGCACCAATGAGCAAGTTGTTCGATAGACGGAAATCAGCTAAGCTGCACGATAGGCTCTGGCTAGTCACGTTCTCAATCTTCTGTTGACAAGTGCTGTAATATTTTCACCTTTGAAATCAAGTCGAATGAAGATGGAGTTTTTCCCACTGTGATTTCTTTGACATTTCAGCCTTCAGATATTTAGTACTCATTAATGAACCTTTGAGGGTAACCATTGCTTTCCAACATCTTTCATATTTCATGGCTGGAGAAACAGTTCTTAAATATTTAAGTGTAAAATGCACAAATAATAATAGCACTTAGAAATTACATGCCTATCTAACTCTAAAACTGTACAACACAATTAGTATATGAGGTCTACACTGTCGTGTCCAACTGTTGATTACTTAATGTGTGTACGTATGTTTCTCTTAGCGTTGGAATTCATATTCACGCACAAGGTAATCAGTTTTCAAAGTCCAGAAATAATTGTCGATTGCAGTTAGCCTCAGTCATCCTTTGATGTTAAAGTAAATATATTCTAAAGAAATACGAATTACAAGCATACCAGATATTATCATCGTGTTTTCATTCTGTTCATCGCATTAAACTTGTTTTTCTTCTTCATTATAGAATTGTTCTGATCTGGTTGATTACTGCCCCGTGTGTGAAAATTATGCGAAGTATCCTCTTGTTTCTACTTATCAGTGCTGACATTTATAATGTTCAGATAAACAGTAAGTCGGCTTGAACTGAGTTATTGTTACACGTACATATGAACTGAAGTCTTACTTTGCTATATAATTATATATATTTACCTATATATATATATATATATATATATATATATATAAAACAAGATAAATGAGGTGTAATATGTAGATGGAAGTTTAGGCAGCCCAACATTCAAACAGGCAGCCAGGAATAGTCTGTTGGTCTCGCTGCCAAATACGTCCCGATCTGACTATTCCAAAATTAACAGGTTCTTATCGAATAACAGCTAATGGTCTAAGCTAAATGATCTTTCCTTAAATACCTCTAAATGTCAGAAAATTAACTAGAGCTTTGGGCATAAATGTAGTCTATGCCAACTGGATGCTTCACAAGGTGTTTACAGCTAAGAGGGTACTGAGACAGAAACTAAGTCAAGCATAAATTACCTTGGAGTAGTTTTATGCTCAAATATCTCTTCGTCCGTCGTCCTGTATCGTATCGATTTCTAAGAACATATCCCGTCTAAAATTCTACATTAAGAAGTCAAGAAACTCAGAAATCACTCAACCTCTACTTTCACAGCTTGTCAACTCTTGCATCTTGCCTACTGTACTTTACTGCTCCGTCTAAGTCTTTCCCAGTTTGCTCAAAACCGACTATGTCATATTGTGAAGGGTCTTAAAGTTTATCAGTGAGACAAGTTGTGTGCCACTAAGTCAGCTCATCTAAATGCACATTGTAGCATTCTCAATACCCTCTCTGCTGCAAACTCTCTACACGATGCATCCCATCAGGCAGGACTAGTAGCCACCAGAACCAGTCACAGAAGCTCATTGATACCTAATTTGGCTCGCCCGCTGTCTATGTGACACAGATAGTGTTAAGCGTGAAACCTACGACTAACTTTGTGATTAGCAAGAAAGTCGGCTCTTTTCCACTCTACTATTTGTAATCAAATCCTGAACTATTCTAATTAACATACAATTTTAGCTAATAAGAATAATATCATTGCTTTACACATTTTACGAAATTTCGACTTTATTATTATTGTAAATACCGAAATAGGCTGGTATTGTGAATCCTGTAATATTGTATTTTGTCTTTGCTTCTGCACTTGTTTGTCGAGTAAATTCGATGCAACATTGTAGTGAATGCTGAGAATTCCACACTGTATCATGAGTACTGTTTTGGAATAATGCAAACTGTTTTTATTATTATAATTATTAGTAGTAGTAGTAGCAGTATTACATTTGATTGTTGAAATGCACAAGTGAGAAAGTCGTAGATATCTTCTGATATATTTTATAGGACTATTTAGCACAGATTAGTTTTGCGTCAAAGCGTCGTTCATAAAAGTGATACTGATTTTGTGTTTAGGATTAATACTCTTAATCTGACAGATATATTACTGAGCAACTCAGAAGCTGGTTACATGATTTTGTACATTCTTTTCGAGAGAATAATTGTACAGCCATTCTCCAAACATTATCTGGGAATAAAATAATCTGATTGACATGAAAGATGTTCCAACTTTGTGCGAATTTTTATCAAAATAAATTACTTAATTCCTTATTTTAAATGTAATTAAGTGTGCTTCAATATCTTTTTTCTGTGCACTAGGTATTCCGTTGAACAGAAATGGACTTCCACGGCCTCCAGTTTTACCTGGACCACGTCCTCCATCCGGAAAACCACCACAATTCCCATCACTCCCACCAATCGGACCACCCCCACAATTTCCTCCACCTCCACCATTCGGACCACCCCCAAACTTCCCTCCACCTCCACCATGCGGACGACCCCCACAATTTCCACCACCTCCACCATTCGGACCACCCCCAAACTTCCCTCCACCTCCACCATGCGGACAACCCCCACAATTTCCACCACCTCCACCATGCGGACAACCCCCTCAATTCCCACCACCTCCACCATTCGGACCACCCCCACAATTCCCACCACCTCCACCATGCAGACCACCACAATTCCCACTACTCCCATGATTTTGATAACCTCCACAATTTTGAACACCCTTCATTTCCTCTATTTTGACCTTAGAAAAACACTGAATTTGTCATTTCCAATTCGCATTTCTCTAAAGGTTCTTCCTTGTGTCACTCACACGGTCTCCTCAAGCCATGTCCTATATATCCCGATTTCCTTGTGCATGTTTGTTAGGTGATAAGTTTTCGGTTAATCCGATGACGAAGTTCTGTGTTGTTTTCAAAATTTGATCTTCTGTATCAAACCAGGGAAGGCAGCTATTGATTAAAGTTTGCAAAAGACTCTTGGAAACAGTTTTGTTGACTCACTAAGCCTCTGAATCATAAATGGGCATAGACTGACTTGGTGCAAATATTGGAAACTAGAAAGATGTTCTTTTGTACGAGCGCATTTCTGATGAAAATCTCAAGCCTATTCATTGTACCTGATGCAGCAAGTTTCAACACTGATTTTAGATAATTGAAGGTCTGTCATACATTTTCAATTGTGCATTTGAAATTCTCATCCATGCCACTTGTAGCTGACATGATGCTATTGGTTATCTGAATAAATATCATGCTCGTTAACGATTGAGGAACTGTGACAGTGTCCCATTTCCTGTGCTGATGCTTTATACTCAGACTGAACACTAACAGAAGACAGTTATGGCGTTTAGAAGTATAGTTCGTGTAAAATAATCAGCTAATGTTTGGATACAAATATCTCACGAATACTTCCCAACCAAGAATGATTCCATACAAGCGAAAATTTCACAAAATGGCCTAAATGAAACATCAAATACTACAGTGCTTTATCAAACAGAGAACTAATGATGGCTACACCGGTATAAAATATCAGTGATAACTCCAAACGAAATAGTCGAAAGTTCACATATTAGCGAAATGTCTTGGCTGGCAAGTGAACAAAAATTTCTAATTAGCGATACGGCAAATAATGCACGAACATGGGATACTTCTAGTAAATTATACTACACAAAACACCACTCAGTCGCATTCGGAACACTATGAGAGGACAGTCAGTACCTCATTATATAAAATACTGATCCGTCACAAAGATGATGTTCCGCTATGTGAAGATGCTTGACATATGTCTTATCATGAACAAGAAAAATCACGAGGACATCGACCTTTATAAATTACACACTTTTACCATTTGTGTACTTATAAACAGTCGTATGATGAATTGCTCTAAAAAATATAGATTAAACACAATACGTGCTACATATGATTCAGCCAAAATAACAACAATAATAAATTAATTTACCGATGTTAGATAAGAAGGGATTTTCAACCCAAATATTATTTGTCTCAGTGAGAAATTTCTACTGGATCATGAGAAGACTATAAGTGGTGGCGTGGCTAAATTACTGAGCTACCAAATATCTATCGTCAATTTAAATACATAATATCCAAATTATTATTATTATTTCCTTTAGTTCCTAGAGGAACATAGGGCTTCAGCCATGCGTCTCCATTGCGTTCGGTTCTCTGCTAGAGTTTTCACCTAGCTCCAGGTCTGCCCACATGCTTTCATCTCCTCTTCACATGATCTCCTCCAGGTCACCTTTGGACGACCAACTCGTCGCTTCCCTTTCGGGTTCCACTCGAGGGCTTGTCTAGTGATGTCACTTGCTGGTTTCCTCAGAGTGTGGCCAATCCATCTCCATTTCTTCCTGCCTATTTGTTTCACAATCGGTTCCTGGTTGGTTCGCTCCCAGAGATCTTTGTTGCTGATACTTTCCGGCCATCTGATCTTGAGTATTGAGCGAAGACATCTGTTAATGAAGGTCTGTAGCTTGTTTGAGGTGCTTTTTGTGACACGCCAAGTCTCTGATCCGTATAGTAGTACTGACTTCACATTGGAGTTGAAAATCCCGATTTTATTTTTGACGCTGAATGATGTTGACCTCCACACAGACTTGAGAGTAATGAAAGCTTGCCTTGTTTTCCCGATCCTTGCTTTGATATCCTCATCAGTTCCGCCTGTAGTTGAAACAATGCTTCCCAAGTAGGTAAAGGAGGTAGTTTCTTTCAGGTTCCTTCCATTTATGCTGATTGCTGTCTGTTGTTGTTGCTGTGGCTGTTGGTGTTGGCCAGGAATCTTCATCACCTCCGTTTTCTCTATGTTCACCTGGAGTCCTATCTTTGATGCTTCTTCTGCCAACTTGTTACTTTTCACTTGCATATCTTCCAGTTTGTGGGAAATCAGACATATATCATCGGCGAAGTCCAGATCCTCCAAGTTCTTTGTGTGAGTCCATTTTATGCCTGTTTCCTCATTGCCCGCTGTTTGTCGCATTATCCAATCTACTGCAATCAGGAAAACCATTGGTGATAGTAGGCAGCCTTGTCTTACTCCTGTCCTCACTTCGAAGGATTCCGTAAGTTTCCCGTTGTGGATTACTTGGCATGCAGCGTTGTCATACAACTGTTGGATGAGATGTATAATTGTCGGTGGCACCCCGTAGTAGCGAAGTAGTTTCCAAATCACCTCTCGATCGACGCTGTACTGTCGAAGGCCTTTTCAAAGTCGATGAAGTTGAGATAGAGAGGTGACTGCCATTCCAAGCTTTGTTCAATGATGATCCGTAGTGTGGCGATTTGATCAATACATGACTTGTTTCTCCTGAATCTAGCTTGTTCTGGTCGAAGTTTTTCATCCAGGGCTTGTTTGATCCTTTCCAGGATGATGCGGCTTAGTATTTTGCTTGGGACGGACAGGAGCATAATTCCGCGCCAATTCTTGCATTGACTTAAGTCTCCTTTCTTTGGTAGTTTGAATAGGTATCCTTTCTTCCAATCCTCGGGTACCTTGCCTTCTTTCCACACCTTCTCCAGTAGTGGCGTCATCAAGTCTGCTGTTGTCTCTGGGTCCACTTCTAATGCTTCTGCTGGGATTCCATCTGGTCCTGCTGCTTTTCCAGCTTTCAGCATCTTGATTGCCTTCACGACTTCTGATTTCGTCGGGGGGTTGATGTTCACTGGTAATTCTGCTTCCGTTGTTGGTATTGCTGGGCGCGTTGTAGGTGGTGGTCGATTTAAGAGTCTTTTGAAGTGTTCAGTCCAGTGTTTCCTTTGCTCCACTTCTTTGGTGAGTGGCTTTCCGTTGTCATACTTCACCGGCTTAATTTGTGTCAAACTTTTGTCCCATAGGTACCTAGTTGTTTGGTAGAGTGTTGCGAGGTCTCCTTTGCCTTCAGCTTGTTCTGCTTCACTTACCGTGGCTTCATAATATTATCTTTTGTCTTCCCTGGCACTCTTCTTTACTCTTTTGTTCAGTGTCTTGTAGCTTGCATTCAAATCCTGCTTTTGTTGCTCATCGGTGCACTGGAGAATCTTTTGTTTCACCATCCCTCTCTTTTCTGTCAGTCTCCAAGTGTCCGTAGTGACCCACTGTTTGTCCTGTCTCTTCTTTCTGCCCAGAACTTCCATGCAGGTTTCGCTCCATACTGTTTTCATGTTGTCCCAGTGTTTTTCGACGCTGACCTCTTCGCTAATGTTGATTTGTGTCTCAGCTTTGTCTTTTATACTTGCAGTAAAGATATCCTTTGTATTGAACTTGGCTTGTGGTCTATCTGCAGCTCCTGATTCTCTGAAAGCTTTAAATTTGAGTTGGATTGTTCCTTGTAGGATGTAGTGGTCTGAGCCAACGTCTGCTCCTCCTCTTGCTTTTGTGTCCATCAGGCTGCGCCGCCACTTCCTCGAGATTGTGATGAAGTCAATTTGGTTTTTGGTTCACCCATCTGGTGACACCCATGTAGCCTTGTGAATATCCTTGTGTTTGTATACGCTGCCACCAATCACTAGTTCATTGAAGGCGCAGAAGTCGGCGAAGAGTTCCCCATTTTCATTCATCTCTCCCAGAGCTTCTTTACCCATGATGAGTTCCCTTCCTGTGTTGTCTGGTCCAAGTTTGGCGTTCATGTCTCCCATTAGTATTTTAATGTCACCGGCTGGAGTATTGTCTATTGCTGCCTGTAGTTGTCTGTAGAATTCTTCTTTCTTTTCGAGGTCTGCGTTGTTTGTCGGTACATAGCATTGTATAATTGACACTTTTCTTCCTTTGGAGTTGAATCTGGCGCTCATTATTCTGGGTGAGATCGCCTCCCACTGTATCAGAGCCTTGGTTGCCGTTGGTGACATCATTATAGGCACGCCCTCGGTATGTGTGTGGTTGTCTTCTGGGTGACCGGAGTAAATCACTGACTCACCTGTTGACAATTTGGTGAGTCCGTTTCCGTTCCATCTGCTTTCGCAGATCCCAATACTTGTAGTCCGTATCTTCTCATTTCGCTTGCGATCTGGGCAGCTTTGCTAGTCTCGTACATGGTGCGGACATTCCATGTCCCCACACAGACTTTTTCTTTAGACGCAAGGAGATTGTTCACGCTGAAGTTTCTGTAGCAGGTTTGTTTACAGGGTGGGGTTGCTGGCCTCACGCCTGAGTTTAGTCTTTGGGTACCTGAAATAGAAGAAAGGTTAGTGGTGCGTGACCACAGAGCTCAGGGGACATCTGCTTGAGGCCGGTCACACATGGCCTGGTGTGTCTCAGTAGTGTACTTATCACTTCTGCCCTGTGACACGGCAGCAAAGGCGTTGTTGAATCATAGTCTGTTTTAATGTGCAAAATTAAAACAGGTTTCAACCTTCTCCTACGAAAACTTCACGTGAACCGAGTTCGCAGAAAGACAATTAAAATTACGCCATAGAACGTAACTGCCTAATCATTACAATAAGAAGAAACAGAGGGACGGACATACATTCTAAAACATGAATACTTAGGTTGTCAAGTAATTTAAGAAGGCCGTCAGAAATATGCAAGCGAGCATCGCTTCCAGAATACCATAATATCTCAAAATGCAAACAAGTGCTCACAATACTAAGTTGCTCAAATAACACCACTATTCACGTCCCGTGCAATCAAACGATGTTTTACACTGAGATTTATGCACTTCATTTTATTGCACTACATGTAATAATGTTACGGAACTATTACACAG